CTTGAAGGATTTAGCTATTTATGAACATCGTGGAACATACTGACACAAACCTAGATGGTATAGGTCAATCACTTGATGTGGCCCATCGATGTAGCCAAGAACCATGGTAAACCTGAGGTTGCTGCTGGCATCCATAGCATACTGTTACGCAATAAACTTTATGAGCAGGAGTATACTATAAAATAATGATAACTAGTATGGGAAAGTAAATATATAATCCAGTTGCAGAGTCATTTACTATCATCACATATTGTACTCTATAGATAGTTGTTTGGGCTATATTTTTATACAACTGGCAGCATCATCACAACACGTGAATAGTGTGTTGTGCTACAATATCACAACAGCTTTATGTCACTAGACAGCAGGAAGTTTTCAGTTTTCTGTGGTGAATAGCATAATTTCTGCCAGAGCAGACCCTCAAGTAATATTTTTTTATATGTTCTTTTGGAAGATAGCCAGGCATAGCCACAACAAGAGGAGACATAGGAGTCTCAGGAAAACGGAATTTATCATACTCACAGGTGCTGGAGGCCAGAGGCATGGCAGGCCATGCAGGTCTGTAGGAGGAAACACCAAGGTCAGTCAGGAAGAAGAAGGGGCAGGATGGAGGGCAAAGCATAGTGTTACCGATGTTGACTGGTGACGAGTCCTTGCTTCTCCAATGTTGAAGAATAACACCAGAGAGCACGCCGAGGCAAGGTCAGAGTAGAAATTAGAAGTTTATTAAAGGACAGCAGAAAAGACTTCTCCCTGAGGAAGAAGGGGACCCAAGAGGTGCGGTTGTCTCACCTTTTTATAGTTTTGGTGATGGAATGTAGGAGAAGGGTTGGGACACAGGTAATCTGGGCAGGAAGGACTTCATTAACACTTCTTCAAATCTGCTGGGGCTGTTCCCTGGGTTCCATTAACATTTCTTTGGGGTGGACTTTGGCCTAGGGCCTTTCCATTCCTTGAGTTGTCCTGCGAGCCCCGGAATCATTCTCAGCATGGCCTCCATTTTAGATTTTACTGATATTAGACCCGATTTACCTAACTACACTGAGTACCTAACTTTAAATCTGGCTTCAATAGGACAGGCTTTCATTAGTGTTTCTGAAGGAAAAGCAAGATGGGGCAAGGTGAACAGCTAAGAATTGGCTAGTTTGAGTAATTGAGGCAAGTGCTAAGAGATAAGCATGGTTCTTAGTTCCTGACAACTGACATTGGGATTATCCTGGCAGAAGAATAGGGCCTCCTTCAGTCTAGGGACCAAGGGAGAAAGTAGGGCTCTGGATTTGTTAGTTTGCATAACAAAGGTATGTTCTTGTTGAGCCCTTGGTGGTCTTCAAAGAGTAGACTACCCTGGTTTTTAAAGTGTCAAACATCATAGCCTAGAAAATTAAAAATGTATACAATACACTTTGTTGGATCAGTTAATGAGTGACCAAATGGCACTGATCCATGGGTAAACAAGTAAATCATTAAGCCAGAAGGTCCATAAACACCCTCCCATCAACCTAGTGGCACACTGCCTGAACTATATCCCCAGTCCTTTTAATTTTTGAGACAGGGTCTCTCTAAGTTGCTCAAGCTGTCCTTGAACTTGCTATCCTCTTGCCTCAGCCTCCTTGCCTCAGCCTCCTCAGGCAAGGGTCATATATCCATTTTTATATACAGGGATGAAATAGTTCTTCATTTTTTGGAAAGGTATGGCATATTTTGAATACAGGAAAAGGATAATTTACTTAATATCTGGAATCTTCATGATTGACTTTATTCATTTCAAAGAAAATAAAGCTAGATTTCCACCTCATGTCATAAAATTAATGTTAGATGAATTAAACATCTAAATATGAAAAATTATGAAGTTGCAAACAAATTCAGAAAGCTTTGGGAGAATTATTTTATATAATTTCTGGGTATGTATCTTCTTGGGAGTAGGAGGAGGCTTTCTAGTCTAAAAAAGAAAACTTAGAATTCATAAAGGAAAAAGTTCATAGATTTGATTGCATGAAGATTGAAAGTTTATAATACCAAAAGAAACAAAACATTAATGGAGAAAAACCAATTATAATGTGGTTGAAAAGAATTAATATTCCTTATGTAGTAAGAACTACCTTGTAATAAGAGATTATCTACTTATTAGAAATATAAGGATATGAAAAGGAGTTTTTAAAATAAAGAAATGTACATGGCTAATAAGTATGAAATTGTATTCCATAGTTACATGCAATTTTTCACCCATCAGAGTCATTTATGTGTGTGTATGGTACTAGGGGTTGAACCCAGGGGTGCTTATCACTGAAGTACATCACCAGCCTTTTTATTTTTGATTTTGAGACAGGGTCTTGCTAAGTAATTTAGGGTTTCACTAAGTTGCTGAGGCTGACCATGCCTTGTGATCATCCTGCCTCAGGCTCCTAAATCACTGGGATTACAGGCATGTGCCACTGTGCCTGGCTTTCATTTGTTCTTTAAATAAATATTTACTGGTTTTTCTACTCTGTGTTAAGTATCATTCTTGGAATGCAATGAAGAAAATGGACAAATATCCCTGACTTATATTCTGATGGAGGAAGATACATAAGAAAAAGTAGAATTTTTATGCTAAGTGAAGCTAGCCAATCCTTAAAAAACAAATTCCAAATGTCTTCTTTGATATAATGAGAGCAACTAAGAACAGAGCAGGGAGGAAGAGCAGGAGGAAAAGATTAACATTAAACAGAGACATGAGGTGGGAGGGAAAAGGAGAGAAAAGGGAAATTTCATGGAAATGGAAGGAGACCCTCATTGTTACACAAAATTACATATAAGAGGTTGTGAGGGGAATGGGAAAAAAAAACAAGGAGAGAAATGAATTATAGTAGACGGGGTAGAGAGAGAAGATGGGAGGGGAGGGGAGGGGGGATAGTAGAGGATAGGAAAGGTAGCAGAATACAACAGTTACTAATATGGCATTATGTAAAAATGTGGATGTGTAACCGATGTGATTCTGCAATCTGTATTTGGGGTAAAAATGGGAGTTCATAAACCACTTGAATCTAATGTATGAAATATGATATGTCAAGAGCTTTGTAATGTTTTGAGCAACCAATAAAAAAAAAAAAAAAAGAAAAAGATAAACCAGGTGTGGTGGGGCACAGAATCCCAGGTACTTGGGAGACTGGGCTGGGGCAGGAGGGTCCCAAGTTCAATGGCAGCCTGGGCAAGTGGATAAGACCCTGTCTCAAAGTAAAAATTTAAAAGGATTGGGGTGCCCCAGGGCTCAGTCCCCAGTAGCACAAGAAAAAAAATTTTTTTTGATGTGTTGGAAGGTGGCAAATGTAGAAATAAATAAAACCACAGGTGAAGTCTACCTGAAGGGAATGAAAGAAAATTTAAGAGATTATTTTGATCAATAGTAGAAAACTTAATTGGAAAACCTAGATTCAATGAATGCTTTTCAGAAAGTGTAATTGTTAACCAAATTATGGAGGAGAGAAATTCTTATCAAATTAAATGTTGTAAAATATCTAGATAAAATTGTTGAAGAATAGCTCTCATAAATAAAGCACCAGACAAGATATTTCCAAGATGGATTTTATCAAACATTAAAAGAACAGACAAGCCAATGATATTTAAAGTATTGCAGGTTTTAGAGAAAGAAATGAGTTTGTGGGTAAATTATTATTCTCCTGCATATTTAGTGTAAGTGGAAATTTGTATAAGCTTTTTGGGAAATATTCTGGCAACTATTAAAATTATATATTTTAATATATTACACATATATTATATAAATATTTGTATAATATTTATATAATAGTCCCACTCTTGGGATTCTAGCCTTTAGAAATTAAAGCATCATTTGGTAAGTCAATTTGTATATGGTAATACTTTTAGTAGCAAAAAAGACTGGGAGCAACTTCAGTGTACCACAATAGGTTGAATAATTGATGGTGCAACTATATACTACACATATTATACAACTATTAAAGAGAGAATCTACATGGCTTACCTGGAGAAATGTCAGTAATCAGAAAAGCAAATATCAAGCTAATGTGTACATTTTGGGGGAAAAAAAGAATAACGAACATTTTTTTTTTGTTCCATGTTAATCACACATTGTGTGAATATAAAGAAACATATGGAATTAAACTCATCAGATAAGTTTTTACTATTGGTTACCCAGGGTTTAGGGAGAACTGGTTGGCTATTTATTTCTTGGTTTTGTCTTGTTGCCTCAAGCAGGATTTTTCATTTGAAGTGAAAAATCCAATTAGATGTTTTTTTTTTTAAAAAAAAGATTTGTCTTTTAGCCTTTCCTCTGCTTATTTCAATATGAGTGTGGGTGCCAGCTAAAACTTATGTGTGAGCCTCAAAGTGGGTGCTGTGATTTGCGTGGTATCTGGAAGGTAGGGGTTTACCATATTTTGTTTAATGATTGAGTTTTTATACTGATATAATAGAGTCATCTTGAAAAGATAAAGCACTGAAAAAAATTAATTTCTCTCAGAGCAAGGTTTTTAATGGCATTATGAACGCCTACCGCAGAGGCATTAGTGTGAAATGGTGTATAATAGGATTTCCAGAGTTAAGCTTTTAGCTCAGTATCTAATTTCCTGGCATTTTGAGTGGCCACGATATACATCATGTGATTGCTATAGGAATGAAGGAAAAAAAAGAGTGCAAGGTGAAACGATAAAGATAGGAGGAATAAACTTTATTTGTATAAAGCATCTTGATATTAAGTGCCAGGCATTACTTGTTTTAATGTTATTACTGAAGGGGAAATGATCATGGGAAACTTCATGGAGGAAGTGAGACACTATACGTCTTCAAAGAGGGAGTATGGTTTATGGGCTCACAACAGGCAAAGGCATTGACTAACACTATGCTCGAGTCGGCAGAGGGCGCCGCAGCACGCCACACCACCGCAGCGCCCCCTTCCGGAAGCCGGCTGCCCCTGGTCCTCTCTGGTTCTTCGGGCGAGCGCGGTGCTGGAGGTACGCAGGCGCCAGGAGCCGCTTAGGACTCTTTGGTGCTGGAGGGGCGCGCATGCGTGCAGCTCGCTGGAGGCGGTAGCTTCTTCGGCGTCGCGACTGAACGCTGAGTGCTAGACTGTGTGGGGCGCAAATGGGATCCGGCTGTTAGTCGGTAGGCATAGGTAGGACTGCTGCCTTGTGGGGAGCAGGGGGCTGGAAGGCGGAGGCTCGAAGCGTGGGGGTCCTGCGCCTTTTCTGTGGTGTCCGGGCCGACTATTGTATGTGTGTCGCAGCGGCTGCGCACAAAATGGCGGCGGGCAGACGGCGGGGGCGGGAGGAGCTGGGGGACCCCCGGGATGGCAAGAGAAGGGGTGCTGGGCTGCCCCGCTCGCGCGTTTGCTCGCCTCGCTGCCCAGGAGCGCTTGATCGGGCGCCGGAGCCTGCGTCGGAAAGAGCCGCTGACGCCGCTGCACGGGCTGAGGAACGAGAAGAGCCCTTTGGCAAGGCCGGGCGGCCCCTTCCCCTTGGGCGCAGGGCCTGCCGAGGCCCGCGCCAGGCCTGACAGCCGTGGAAGCGGTGGTGAGGGAGCCCGAGGAGGGAGGAGCCATGCCCCTCCGCCCAAGGAGGCGGCGGAGTTTGAGCCGAGTCCTCTGGCCAGCGACGTTGTGCAAGAAGCATGCGGAGAAGAGCGTGTTTGCGTTTGGGGCTGGGGGATTTGGGGTGGAAGGGAATGATGCGATCCAGCGCCTTTTGCCGGCCACTGTTCCCTGTGCTTCCTTGTGCGGAGAAAAACGTCACCTCTGTGTGGGATACGGAGGGCTCGTAAATGGCGGTGATACTTATTTCCACATTTCTCGGAGGAATCATGAATACAGAACGTCAGTGATTAGTTTTTGTGTGATTCCTAGCTTTGGAGGGGGCGATCTGTTGGGGAAAATGTATCTACCCCATGCTGTAATCCTTGAGGAGGTTTGAAACATCTTTTGTTGTTTGAGTTAATTGTGAAGGTAGGGAGAGTTAACAATCTTACAAAATTTTCAATTAAGCTAGACAATGAGGGCCACCGCCAGCTAATTTTTCTTAACCTTAAAATTTGCCTTTAGGCGAAATTTGGAAGGAGGGGAGGAAATACGACGAATGTGAAGGAGTTCGGAAGAAAAATTGTCACCGGCTTATATTGATTGAGATTCTTTTCCTAACCAGCTTTGGAATTAATGACCCCCACTCCCAATCCTCTTTCGTCATTTGTTGCAAAAGGTTAACTCCTTTTTCAGGGATGTTGTGTTTGCTGGTTCAGATTAGCAATTTAAAATAACCTGGAAAAAGAAATTTACAAAATGCAGATGAATTTAAGGACGTTTACACAGAAAAATAAACTTGCATGTTACATTACTAAAAGATTGCTTTAAATGTTAATGATTGGCATTCTAGATTTAATGGGCTTATGTTGTATTTTTTTAATGAAATTTATTTGACAGCATTTCACATACACTTTGTGTCCCTATGTTCTGTTATATATACTTAAAAATAATTGTGTGGAATCCACCATATTAATATGCTAAAATGTGCTGGGCCATTCCTTCCTTGGACCAAGTAGGGGTAAAGATAAAACAGTTGAAAGAAACCACAAAATCTAATTTGCTTTTTATTAACTGGTTTTCAGAAAATGTTTGTCACATATATTTGTCACCTTATATATTGGTTATATTTAAGTTTCATAATTTTTTTCTTTGTATTTTGTTATGGAGGGTTGTATGGTAGAAACTAGTGTGTAAAATATTTTCATAATCAGTTGTCACTTTATGGCTGTCTTAAAGGTTTTTTTCTTTCTTTCTTTTTGGTGGTGCTCTTAAGGTGATTTCAGAAAGTTTTGTTTTAATGTAATGGAAAAAAATGAGAGACAGCTTCATGGGAAGAATAGACTTTGAAGATCTGGATTCAGATCCCTATTTTCCTTTTAACTGTGTGAGACTTGGGACAAGTTATTTTTGTCTTTATGAAATTTTGTTTCTTTATTTGTAAAGTGGTGATACTAACTGCTTTCTCCTTGAGTTTTTTTGTGGTCACTATTGAAACAAAATATGGAAAGCTCCTATCCCTTGATACATATTAGTCTCTTAATAAGTTTTAGTTGTTAATTTTAATCCAGATTTTAAAGTTCTTAGGCAACATTTTTTGATAGAAAATTACAGTTTGGGAATATTGCTTTTTAATTAAGAGGAGGCTTAAAAGAATTTAGATTCAATTAATAGAATTTTAGAGTTCAGAGATAATCTTTCATTTAAATATTTTGGGCTTCTATAAACTTTATGCTTCTCTTGCACTTTTCAAAACATGGTAATAATGTATTACATGATTGTGTTAGTCTTTGTATCTGTTTGCATGATTGGTACATATTGGATACGCAGAAGTTGGGTGAATGAACTCAGTAGTTGCTAGAGCCTGGACGATATTCCCTTTCCATTGTGCCTTAATGTATATTGATCAAGGTTTGCATAGATCTGCCAAAATCTGGCCATTCTTACATGTGTTACATACTGAGAAACAGTGCTTCTTGTAAAGGTATTCATTAATAAAGTTTAGGCTGTTTTGCAAGGTAACAGGAGTTAATGAATATTGAAATGTGGTTCAGAGATTCTCCACCTTGAAAGTATTTGTTTTTGGCTAAAGCTAATAAGCTCCCCACTTGTATCCAACTTATTTGCTCTTTTCATTGCTTCAACTTTGTGTAGTCTGAATTTGGTGGTTGGAAGTGGAAGGAAAATAAGTATATGGAAAACAAGAATAATAGAAAGAAAGAATGGTGAAGAAAAATGTAGAAATAAAACCTACAGGTATAATAATGATCAGTGAGGATCAAGAATAAAAGCATTTTGGAATGAAAATAAGAAAGTTCAGGGAGAAGGAGAGATAGCTTTAAGGTGCATATATTATCTTAGTAGTTATCTTGGGGTTACGTATATTTTGGATTGTTTTTCAACTCTTTTTAAAGACCAACATGTACTTATTTTTCCAGTCTGTATTAAATTTTTGTACTTTTCACCTGTCTTATTTCTATTGTCTATCTTTCATAACCTAAGTATTTAAGTCTACAAGCTCCCTACCTAAAGCATAGGTAAAAACTTTCAACTAATTTTTCTGTTGTCTTGCTGAGTGAAAGTTGCCAACCTTCCGAAAAAATTTTTTAAACATTTTATTATGGAAATTTTAAATATATGCAAAAAAGAGAATTACATAATGATTCATCCAAGTACCTGTCATCCAGCTTCAATAATTATAAGCTAACAGTCTGTGGCTAGGGTATAGCCCAGTGGTAGAACACTTGGATATCATGCCCTACTTTGATCCCCGGTACTGCAAAAAATAAAAAACGAATAAATAAAAGTAAACAAGCTAATATTCAATCTCGTCTAATCTCTACCCTTACCCTTCACCCTTAGTTTTTTTTTTGGTACTGGGGATTGAACCCAGGAATACTTAACCACTGAGCCCAGCAGCCCTTTTTAAAAATTTTATTTAGGGACTGTCTCACTGAGTTGCTTAGGGCCTCACAAAGTTGCTGAGGCTGGCTTTGAACTTATGATCCTCCTGCCTTAGCCTACCAAACTGCTAGGATTACAGGTGTGTGCCACTGCACCCAGATCTTCACCCTGTTTTTAAGCAAATCCTATGTCTCTGATCAGTTCTTTAATATATAGTTCAAAATATTTTCTAAAATGTTTAGGAAAATTGCTTATCACATCTAAAATAGCCATTACCAATTTTTAATGATGACATAATTGTTAATAATTTTAAAATATAATAATATCAGATATTAAGGCAGTTTTTAGATTTCCTACTTGTAATGTGTCACACACGTGCATATATAAAGTTTGTTGGAGTCAGGATCTGTGTGAGATTCATAATCGGAGCAGTTGCTTATAATTGGTTGCAGTTGGTTGATACATCTTTTAGGCCTATTTATAAACTGCCCACCTACCTGTTTGTTCTTGTTGAAGAAAAACCTTGCTTTTTATGCATTAAATGATACATTTATATAACAGTTTTGCTTTATCTGAATTAGTGAATTTTGATATGACTTTAAAATGTAGTCAGTAATGCTAAATCTGAATTTAGGAATGACTGCAAGAAAGGTGGAAATAAGCAATTAATTCCTATTTCTATTTCTAATATATTGTAATTTTCAGAATTTACCCAGTCTTAATAAAAGGAACAGATATCTACCTGCTTCTTACTTACGTAAAGCATTTTATTTACTTATCTAGCATTTTTTTGAGCTCCAGTTATAATTTTAATCTGCATGACAACGTTCTGAGTGTTCTGGTTTTATTTGGATTTTCAAATGATGAAACTTGGGTTAATCTGTGTGCTCAAGGTCCCATTGTTATTAAGTAGCAGGACCAGAATTATAACACTGAATATAAGGTCTAAATTTTTAAACATTGGGCTATAGTATCTCTCTAAATCTGAATTAATAGTGTTAATTTTTGCTTATGGGAGTAAACCAATTTGGTATGAAGTCATTCACTGGCACCTCTCCTTGCAGGGGTGGATATCTTTGGATCAGTGCAAATTTCCCCAAAGATTGGATTATTACAGATTTCGTAATGGACTAACAGTAGTTGGGGAGGGAACATGATGTAGAAAAAGAAGGGCCAAATTAAAAAATGAGTTTTGGGGCTGCTGATCTTTTTTATGTCTCTTGTCATATTTGCTTATAATCTTTTTGACCTAGTGTACAATTAAGTTATAAAGTCCAGTGTTGTACATAAAATATTGGATAATTTAACGATTTTTTAATGAATTTAAGCTTTGGGTGACAGGGAATGAATTCCTTTTCTCCCTTCTGTGCATGGTGCATGTGTACACACACACATACACACACACAAAACTTACTTTTTATCTGAACAATTTGATAGTAAGTTGCCTATGTTGTGCTTTTTTATCCCTACATACTTTAGTGTATATTTCCTAAGAACAAGATGTTTTGTAATATTATAGCTAACAACTTTAGTAAATTTAAAATTGTTAAAATTCTTAAATCTGAATTTGTATTCTGGTTTTCCTCATATGATCCAATAAAGTTGATTATAGCATTTTTTTCCCTTCTAGTACAGGATCATCTAGGCTGGGATACTGCATCTAGTTGTTGTTATATCTCTCTCTTTTTTTTTTTTAATTT